ATAATAATAATAACATATATAAAAGCAGAACAGGTGTGTTATTTGAACACACCTTGTCTCTGCGCCGCCATCGCTGGGCTCTGGACCTCATCGTACGATTGGCCGTCTGTCACCACAACCAGGAAGTTGTGACCTCGTTCTTTTTGTCTGCAAACATTTCAAATAGAGTTCTCCTCGTTTACCTTCCAGAATCAGAACRATTTGATTTATTCAAGATGGAGCTGATTTCAGAAGTGATGGGATGATTTTAGTTACATTTTTATTTCATTCTTTCATCCACTGTGGATTTAATATTCCAAGAAGACCCAACACAGTTATATTACAGGTTAAAATACAGTATCTATGTAGAAAATGGCAAAAAATCTTAATCCATGCTAGGCTAATAGCTAACCAACGCAGAAAAACACTGGCACTTGTTTGACTAGCTGTTAGCCTAGCCTGGATGAAGACTTCTGCCTCTTCCTCCCATCTTAAAGGGTCTGTGACATCAAATTTTTGTAATAAACATTAATGCATTTCTGGAAAGAGAACATTGATAAAATAATGCAAAACAAATTCTGTGTCACTGAGACGAACAGTTGTTGAGATATTTGCGTGTGAAGAAACGGGAAGTGATGTCAAAGGGGAATGTGAACAGAGCTTTGCTACAACAGCTAACAAAGACTGTAGAGAAGAATCTGTTTTTTTTAGATTATTTTGAGTTTCTATCAAAGAGATGAAGAAAAGTTAGTTTAAATAATTTTGTTTTGATAAACTGAGACCAGAGAGTTTATTTTATTAAAGAGTTCCCCTTTGATGTCACTTCCTGTTTCCCTTTGGCTGAGCCAAATCACAAAGAAAACAGGCCAGTTATGGTACAAAATGAGTAACATCATTTGTGTTATGTTAATTTTCTTAAGAMTAAAGATGTTTTCTTTGAMTTTTTGTATTTGAAGGATAAACATGTTGCAGACACTTTAAGGCTAAGATACAAAGCGTTAGACTGAGCGGTCCCTTTAAACATGGCTGCCGTTACCTGAACAGGTTCTGGGTGGCGTAGGTGATGGCTGACCCGGTGGCCGTTCCTCCGCTCATGTAGCTGATCCTCCTCAGGGCGCCGATAGTGTCCTCTTTGCTGGAGTGGTCCATCAGGCCGAACTCCAGCCTCTGGTCGTAGGTGAACTGGACCGCACCTGCAGCAYGACACACGTCAGTCAGTGGCTCGGTCGGCCTGTCAGAACCTGGGACCGGGGAGAAACTGGGCGCGGGTCGGGAAGCTGACCGATGCGAGCGCCCACGTCTGAGATGTCGAAGCTCTGAGCGATTCCTGCCAGGAAGTCCAGAACCAGCTGGAAGTTCTGCCAACCGACGCTGGASGACCCGTCGATGAGGAAGCCGATGTTCACCGAGTTGTAGCAGGTTTTACCTGCAGGGGCAGAAGGTGGAGCTCACATCCAAAACCACGAGTCTAAACGAAACTGGAGCATGGAGAACCAGTCTTACTGCAGAGCAGAGAGTCCAGGGAGCAGAGTCTCTGTGTCAGCGGGCGGACATGTTTGGGGGTGCTGAACCAGCTGGGGATGGAATAAGTGAAGAAACCATCGTCTTTACACACGGCCTGCAGGGAGACAGGAAGCTGATCGCTCAGAGACAGCAGCAGTCGTGCTGCGTTCAAGGTCCGGTTTAAAATGATATTACTCATGAGAAATTCAAAACAGCCAAAGATTTTATACTTGAAATGTTTTTTTAGCGCCAATGTACATAATTATCAAACAGACATGCAACTGAAGGCAGATTTATATTTCCAAAAGTTCACACAAATTCCATGAAGATGTCRGCTTTATWTAGATTTGTGCTTTTATGGAATATTTGACCTAAAAACATATTGGATACACATCAGGAAAATGAATTTCGAACAACTTTAAGAAGATATTTACAAGGAAAACAATTATAT